AGTTTACAGTGGAAAGTCGCCACGATGTAAAAAAGATGTGGAGACTCTGGAAAGAGTGCAGAGAAGAGCAAGAAAGATGATTAGGGGACTGGAGGCTAAAACATATGAAGAACGGTTGCAGGAACTGGGTATGTCTAGTCTAATGAAAAGAAGGACTAGGGGAGACATGATAGGAGTCTTCCAATATCTCAGGGGCTGCCACAAAGAAGAGGGAGTCAAACTATTCTTCAAAGCGCCTGAGGGTAGAACAAGAAACAATGGGTGGGAACTAATCAAGGAGAAAAACAACCTAGAACTAAGGAAGAATTTCCTGATAGTGAGAACAATTAACCAGTGGAACAATTTGCCTCTAGAAGTTGTAAATACTCCAATATTTTATAGTTTTAAAGAAGAGATTGGATAACCACATGTCTGAAATGGTATAGGGTTCCTTCTCTGAGCAGGGGGTTGGACTAGAAGACCTCCAAGGTCCCTTCCAACTCTGTTTAGTGTAATTTTAATTTTAATTCTAATTCTTATTTTATTCTCTCTTCATTCTCCTCTCCTCTCCCTATTCCATTGGTCGCAAATGGCAATCAGGTAACCCGTGGGACACTACAACTGTGTGGTACCCACCTAATGCTGGCAACTGGGCGGCTGCTACGGTGGTTGGCGGGGGTCATGTGGTGTCGCACCGTGTGACCACGTCATTATCAACAGAGGTCCTAATTGTGAAAGGTCCGTGGTGCTCGCTCCTCTTGGTTGTTTTCTTGCAGATGTTTCCTTATCCAAACCAGGAAACATCCCCAATGTTGGGTAACATCATTGGTCCTGATTGACATTTATCTAGTTGGGTAATGAAACATCTGCAAGGAAAACAGAGGAAGCACCAAGGACGCCTCGGGTCAACCCTGAGCTACAAATATTTTCCCTTATTGGTCCTCATTATCATTGGTACGCACGCACCACTTGCCCTTGTGTGGATTATCAACAGATCAAAGTGGGGAAATGAAAAAATGAGTTGGGCAAGGACTGTGTCCTGGGACAACCTGGTCATCAATTCCCTTCAGACCTCATAAGAAAGGATCCATTGAAATACCCCTGCATGATGTTCCCACGTGTTGAGCTCTTCCTTCTTCCCAAGGAAGTCTTCGACCAAGACCACGGCCTGGGAGCAGCTCTCTGGGCCGCACGCCCGGACCCAGCGCTGCATCTCCGGCGGTAGGATGGCCAGGAACTGCTCCAAGATCAGCAGCTCCACGATCTGCTCTTTGGTGCACACGTCCGCCTTCAGCCACCGCTGGCAATGTTCCTGGAGTCGGCTGTAAGCCCCCCGGGGCCCTTCCGCTTCCTGGTAACGAAAGCGCCGGAAACGTTGGCGCTGTTCCTCCCGCCGCTGGGCATCCCTTTGCAAAATGGCTGCCTTCACTTTCCCATAATCCCCCTTGCTGCATCCTTCCAGGTTCAGAAGGGCCTGCTCGGCTTCTCCCCTCAAGGCTGGCTGGAGCCGGGCCACCCATTCCTCCTCGGGCCACCGACAGGCTCGGGCCACTTGCTCGAAGGAGTCCAGGAAGGCCAAGCTATTTTCCCACGGATCCTCGGGCGGTTTAGAGCTCCCCGAACGCGGGGTCTCCACCGTCTTCAGGAACTCCCGCCACTGAGCTTCCCACTGCTGAAGGGATCCCTCATCCGGTTCCTGCTTGATCTCTCTGCTTGTCCTTTGGGGCGGGGACTCCCCTCCGCGAGGGTCTTTCTTTTGCGGGTGATCCCTGAGGTCCTGCTGTTCCATTGTCCTTCAGAGAGACTCCAGGCAAAAGCACCACCAAGCCCGACGGTCCGGAACCTGCCCTGGGATCCAAACTGTTGCAACTGTGCTGGCATCAAGGGCGATTCCTCAGGTTACGATCTCTGAATCCTTGTTGGTCAAGAAAGAAAAGCTAAGGACACAAAAGGAATTTGCAAATCAGCCACAGGGAATGCTGGGCGGCTTGAGGTTGTTGGGGTTTTTGATCTCACATTATTGAATAAGCTCGAAATCATGAAATAATACTATAATACTGTATAAATTATATATACATACATGTGTATATATATATATATGTATGTATGTATGTGTGTGTGTGTGTGTGTATATATATATATATATATATANGGCTGAGTCAACCTTGAGCCGGTGAGATTAGAACCGCTGAACTGCAGATAACAGTCAGCTGAAGTGGCCTGCAGTACTGCACCCTAAGCACTGCGGCACCTCGGCTCTTTTTTTGTACTTTCTTACAGTACAAATCCAATTGTCGATTTATCTGAAAAACATCATGCTAATATAACATATGCAATTTGGAATTGTAAAGAATTTCTAATTACCCTAACGATAAAATATCAGTGCATATCATTTTGCTCCATGAAGGATGGCTAAAGTAATGAGGGCAGAAATAGAATTAATAATGATAAATTAATAAAGCATACTAAGTGAAATGAGGGCTTTTCTAGCTAACTCTTTTTTGTTTTAACAGTGTTGATATTGAAAAGACATACGAAGAAATAGGACCTTGATTGTATTGTAGTAACTGCTATCTTTTTACCTCCCTTTTGATAGATGTGGAAAAGGTAACACTAATGAATCTAGAAACCTCAATTTTAAACAAGTGAAGGTTCTAATCCACACAATTCTAACTTTCCTAAGTGATAGACGAAAAGAGATAGTGGTTCTATGTTATATAGTCTTGAAATTCCGAATCCAGGTCACACAATTAGGGTCTTCTTTTGCTAGTAAATCCCTCACGCAAATTATGCAGGATCCATTTAATGACCATTCAAAGTTACAACGGCTCTGCAAAAAGACCATTTTTTCAGAGCTACAACCCTTGTAGCATCCCCATGAGCATGTGAGCAAAATACTTGGATGCTTGGCAACTGACTCATACATATGACCACTGCTGTGTCTCAAGGTCATGTAGTCACCTTTTGCAAACTTTTGACAAGCAGAATCAATGGGGAAGCCAGATTCACTTAACAACTAGGTTACTAACTTAATAACTGCAGTAATTCATTTAACAGGAAAGGGGAGAAACTCACTTAACAAATGTCTCACTTAACAACATAAATTTTGGGCTCTATTGTGATCATAAATCGAGGACTACCTGCAATTTGGAAATGGGAGAGTAAAGGAAGGTAAGGCAGTAATAAATTACAGATATACCTAATTGTTGTGGCCCAGCAGGAGCCGTTGGAGCTGCCACCAGATTCCGACAGCGAGGGGACCTATGAATCGGCTTTGGAGGATGTGGATGACCCTGGACAGGGTTCCGACTCTGAGCAGGG